TCATTGAAAACGTTGGAGCTTAGATATGTGTTCCGAAAACATCTCGCTTGCATTGTTTCAAGAATTCAGCACAAACCTCAACAAAGTGATCAGAGAAAACTGGGTAGAAGATTTCGGCTTGCTCATACGCTTCTTCCAATTCTGACGTATTAGAGCCCGGACACATCTGGCGCTGAACTCTACATCAGTCTGTAAAAGAGGACACTTTTATTAAAGTTTTACCACCATAGTTGTCTCAAACCTTACCTTCATAAGTGAGTACATTGCCTTGGTCAATGACCCTAGCACTTTCATCGTATCACCGGAGAGTGGCCCGTTCGACATATCATCATAATATCGCAGCAGGTAGAGAAATAACTTTGAAAGGAGTTTCTTATTACCTTCTGCAAGACTCGGATGGTAGCATTTTATTAGCCTGAAAAAAAAGATATTTCGCATGGGATCTAAGACAGATCTTTCTCGCAGAAATTGACTTAAAGACACATTTCGCGACAACACCATCAGGATAAACTAGGACAACAACGTTAAAATCTGAAATGGGACGGCGCGAAGGGCGATGGCATGAAAAAACGGAATTCTGACCTAAGGCGTCTCGCGTTCCTAAAGGTCCCTAATAAGGTCCTACTCCGTGACTGATTCTGAAACAATTGTACACGAAAGAGAAGCAGGCTAGAGAGCAGAAAATAAAGGACGCAGAACATAACACAGACAAACGGTCCTACTATACCTCTTACGACATTTGAGTGGGCATTCCCGGCCTAGGCCATAAACATGTAGCACGCTTGTCACTAATTTTCGGATACGCAAAAACGATAGAGCATCTCCACTTGTCAACACGGTCACTTTCACACGGAAGTACAACACTTACATAGTCGTAAACCGCCTTTGAAGACAAACTGTACACCTACTTCCGTGGATCCACGTCCCTGCCATGTGTGAAGTGTGGGTCTGTAGCTGCAGTAGTGTGCCATTCTTTTCCGCTTAGAAGTGCACCGGAACGAAACTGAAACGTAGTGTTGCCCGGTGCTATTTTCATACATCGCCGACGCTGCTGCACGGTCAGCCCTAGCCAAACCTCTTACTTGTCTGCGCCCTCTCACTTCTAGTTGTTCTCTTCCGTTGAGGATGTGCTTCGCTGCGAGGTCTTAGTATCGCCGCAAACGCTGCGATTGAGGATAGCGCGGAGGTACTATGGGGATGGGCGCAGTTCGACGGGGAGGGGGCATTTTGCACTTCGCTGCTTCACTACTTCCGCTTTACAAGTCTCACTCTGGTGAAACCTGTGAAGTCTTGTGAAGCTGAGCAAGCTCGTCCAGCCAGGTGAAACGTGTCAACTCAAGAAAAGACTATCCAGATGGATCGACACATCGATGGGAAGCAAAATGCCCCCCCCCCGTCGCTGAACTGCGCCGGGACTGTGTATTAACACCCACCAGCCCCCTTTCTGAGCAGAGAAACGCTAATGCATCTGCAGACCCACACACCTTGCACATGGAAAGATCGTCCTCGGAGGTGAGTGTACATTTGTCTCTGGGAGACTTTGCTGGGATGCACGTTGTCACGGGCAGAATTGCAAAAAAGACTATCCTAGGCATAGCAGTATGGTACCTTGTGACAAACAAAACAAAACAACTATCGCAAATATTGTCACAAAGAGGAAGTGATGTAGTGGGAACAAACCGTTGCAAAACAACATCAATCTTGCCAGCAGGATACTTCTTCAGTAGTTCTACGAGTGCCTCATACTTCCTTGGCATTTCGAAACAAACGGCACGTCGAGATCCGCGTCAGCTGCAAGCAGTCAGAGGCACAATACATCCAAAAGATCATTGTGAACAAGGCACACCTGGCCGTTGGGGGAAAATTTCGCAAAATACGACCCCCTCATCAGGTTTTTCGCATGTAGTACGACCCCACTTCCATAACCCCTATCCTACTTGCCATCTTAGATTCTCTCCAACTTCCTACCCCTTTCTGGGGAGAGTCTCCCGTTTTTTAAGAAAAAAAAACCATCGTACAGAGGTGGGGGGGGGAGCGTGATGGGTGACAGTGCAAGCGCACCAAGAAAAAAAAACCCAGAACAGTCAAGTACCGGAAACATTGTCCTCGAACGCATACCACCCACTCTCCAGCTACCAAACAGGACCCTCCTCACCGAGGATCCTCAACGTAACACGTGCCCTGATGTTGAATGGTATACTAATAACCTAGTTTGACTTGTTGTCCACGCTTTTTCGTCTTTTTGTCCGCTACTTCCTCCTCTTCGCTATCCATATCATCTTCTTCTGCATCGTCGCCTGATGCATCGCCATCTCCTTCCTCTTCTTCATCAACATCCTCATCTTGCTCGTCGTCAACTTCGTCATCCTCACTGTCTTTATCTCGAGCGTTTTTGCTCGTGCCGCTCTTCGCCAGTTCGTCATCTACAAATAAAGGAACAAATCTGCATGGCATGGAAACCGGATTGTTTTCAAGTATTTGGACCTACAGTTAATATAGTCGCAATCAAACGGGGCGTGGTTAGGAAGCTCAGGGCACATCATTGATTGGAGATTCTGGTCGAGTCCGTACGACCCCACCTTCTTTTTAAGGGTTGGTACGACCCCCTCCGCGCCCTTTGTCCCCCCCCCTCATCGAGCTATCGAGCGCGAGGGGGTAGGAGGGGTATATAGTACACATTAAACAGGAAACTCACGAAAAGTCAACCACTTCCCAGAAGGCCAGAAAGTAAGCAGTAGGTAAATACAACCCCCTACCTCTCCTACTCCCAACAACAAGTACGACCCCTTTACAACGTCCGTGAAGCAAGAAAAATCAACTATCAAAATAAATTTTTCTCAGCCCAAATACGACCCCCTCTCCTGGCGGCCAAATACGACCCCTTT